AATGCAGAGTCATATAAGCGGCCTTTGGAAATAACAGATTGTGCAGACGTTCTTTACTATACCTGTTACTGAGGGCAAACTTTGCCCTTTGCTTCATCACTCATTCCAGTTTCCTAACTCATACCTCACTGGGCTCTGTGATTGCATGTTGACTCTGCTCATCAGCTGACGCCACGGCTGCGTCACTGGATTGTCTTCCTTTGTGTGCCAAATAACGCCGCTCTTATCTGTTCGGTCCCCTTACTTGGAGGTTCAATAGCTACAATCAAGGTCACTGCACAAGCCGCTTAGCCTCCCCCTCAGTGTGAATTTAGAAACACGGCATTCAATTTATCTGCTCTGCAGCCTTGAGAAAATCTACAAGACCAGATAAATTTGCAGTTATTTTACATTCATAAATTCAAAATAAATGGGCTCCAAATGGTACCACTGATGGAATAATCTATCTGTAAGTAACCCTGCTGCCCCTAACATTTGTGTTCAGACATTACTTCATCTATTGTCTTTTTTTTCATCCCATGGGGGTTTAGAATTTCAATAGGATCTTCTTGTAAACTATTGGTGCAAAGTGTTTGAGACCATAAATAACAATACTGGTCTAATGACACGTGGAGTTGTAATTAATTAATCAGATGACTGGGTAAGCTGTCACCAGTCAAAGACGGGAAGAGAGTGCGTTGTCATGTTAGATAATCCCTGCCGCTACACCATGATGCCTGCACAGAAGCACATCAGAACAGCTGAGCACACTGAGCCCCCAAGGTGTGTGTGTGTGTGCACGTGTGTGTGTGAAGACGGCCACAGCCAACCCTCTTATAACCCCCCGAGTACGACTCTGAACAGTGAGAGAACAGCATTTAGGCCATAATTAGAGTCCTGTTCATAGTGGAGTTCTGTCTGCTGAGATAATTAGGTCTGTCTTCATTACAGCAATTGCAGATAGAACCACGAATGGAGCCCAATAAAAGCCTCGACCATTATACCACTTGAACATCATGCAATCTGCCTGTGGCTTTGCCTTATTACTTTTAAACCCACCGGGTTTCGGAAATGATCAAATGCGCCATGTAGGTGGTGCACAGGTGCTGCTGAGCAACAAACTTTTCAAAATTTAAAATAAGTTCTGCGACATGTAATATAATTTCCATGTTTTTGATCTGTGGGTTTGTTCTTTTGTGTGAGTGTGAGTGTGTGTGTGTGTGTGCCTGCTCAAATATTGAACATTGGATGAAAAGAAATATGTATCACATTAAAGTACGGCTTAACGGATGATACTGTCTGGGCCGTTTTTGGTCCAGGCTGAAATATTTGAGCAAATAGGAGCTGGATTACCATAAAAACATTCGTTGCCCTCCCCACCCCCATCTCTTTAATCCAGCTGTTTTTGCCCTGATTCTCCTTTTTTCCCTCCACCAGGTTGCAGTTTTCACTTATCCAGAGGAATCTCTCGAGAAGAGGAACGCCTCTTGGGAGCCCTTGACTTTTCCTCCAGTGCCACCACGATGTTACTGAAAAGCCATAAACTGTAAAAACTTTAGTAACTCCTGAACTTTTTAAGAGTTTGCCCAATGATGTGGTTAACTTCTAAGACCTGTCACAACAACAAAGCAAGTCATGAAGGTGGTGACTATGTTAAATATTGAACTTAACATTGCAGTGCCTGTAGCGGCTTGCTTCTGCTAGACAGCTTCAGCATTTCAATCAAAGTATAGTGAACAGCAGGCATGGCTTTAAACCTGTCTTTTTTTAATGCTCCTTGTGTGGATTGAGTAAAAGCCTTCTTTAAACAGACACCCCGAAGTCATTTAAAATTCCTGCAGCCACACTTCAACGTCCCAATTAGAATAACACTAAAAAAATCACTTTTTAATGACTTTCTTTTGTGCGTCACCGAGGAAAGATACTGCCTTATTCTGTCGGCTGTGAATGCGTTACCGTATCGGTTTCATGGAACTGATTGGGCACAATTAAATACAAAAGGATCTGTCAGCTTTGAGTGAATCACAGAATTGTCACTTGGCGCTGAACACTAGGAGCTCATGTAAAATTTATGCCAAGCGGTAATGAAGTGATGGATGCTTCCTTGCTCACATCATCGCAGGTGCTGTATGTCACACAGGATGGTTGCAGGAGGACGCAGTGATGACTCTTGTATTTCTGACCACAGCCACTGATGGGTTTTTTCCTCCTTTTTTGCTCTTCAATCTGCACTTCAGGTGTGAGCCTGGGGTTAGTTGTGTGCGTGGGAGGACAGCAGACTACTGCAGCACACTTGGTATAAGGAGCTTCATCAGCCTGATGACAGACTCTATCACCTTTATTTCACATTGCCATCTCCCCCTTTTTTCCCCTTTCAGCTTACAACAAAAAAAAAAGAACACTTGCCTCGAGAACATGACACACGACACGCAAAGTAGCGGCTTCGATCTTCAAATTTGCCTGCTTTGCATGCCAAGCATTTCACATTAGTCACAGAGTAATGTCAGCGGTGTGCATTTAACAGCTTCGATGATTGAAATCCTGGAGCTGGTTTTGTCAAAGTCATAAGCACAGGAGAGAAAATCTCTTGATATGCAATTAAGGCGAATGTCACTGTAAATGCCAACATTGGTATGAATGCTAGAGTCAGGTTTGTTGCCTCCATGACAGGAAATGTGTCTTCCAGTGCAGAGATATTGATTTTAGTTTCTTTCAAACTCAGCAGCCCACCTCACTGCATGGGCGGCGCAGACAGGTAATTACTTTTCCAGCAGATAGCACGATAGGGCCTAACAGGATGCAAATACACACAAATCAACAGCACGGGTGTCTCGCAGGCTTGTTTTTAATGCATAACATAATTACAAAGCTATTGTTGCGTTAAATGCTTATTACAAAGTGGTTTGTCAGCGCCAGACAGTCATGCATACGCAGTAATGACACATAATCTGCCTAAATGTTGTGATTTTTGCTAAAATTGCAGTGAAAATTGTTTTTCAATTTTAAAGAAAATCCATCTGTGACCTTTGCTTTTCAATTTATTGTGCAAGTAAAATAGATATGCATATTTATGTCACGCCGTACCTTTCGTTGATTTGAATGCACTCTTGGGGAGTTCAGAGGTCTGGTTGCGATTTTTGCTTTTGGCAAGATGAAGTAGACGTGCTCGCCGGATATACCGGCAGGTAAAAAAAAAAAAAGGAAAAAGAAAAGATGAGGCATTGTGAGCTGAAAGTCTCATCATTGATTGAACACACAAGCTGACTTTAACTGCTCAAATGTTTACTTCGGCTTAAAATCTCTCACTTAAAACAGGCAGCAGCCTCGGGTAAAGCCTTCATATCTGAAACCAGTTTGAAAAACAAAAAATACTCCAACTGGCTAAACCTGGATTTGTCCACAGTGGGAAGAAAAGAATCAATCCCCCACCCCAACAAAAAAATCAATGTACCGTGTTTATCCATGTGTAGCTAAATGTGTGTATGTGTGTGCTTGTTTCTGTCTCATCTCTTCATCATAGCTTAATTGAAAAAAGGGGAAAATGCACAGCCACGGAATAATCACAATCCCTGCTGAAATGGCAATGCTTTATAAATTACAATCATCTCTCGCTGCTCAGACATTAACAAATGAGTATCGACTGAGTGTGCAACAGATGGACCGAGGGTCTTATAGACTATACTGTATGCCGCAAATGTCAGCTATAGGTGCGTTTGTTGCTCATCACGCTTTCATAATGCAGTGTGTTATGTTTAAACGCGCAGGAGGATTAGTCCTGTTAGTGGTAATGGTGTTAATATTTGAAGCCACAGCTTGGAGCAATTACAGTCTAATTATTTTTTTAGGGGGTATCCGTAAAATTAGTGTGTAGTTAATGAGCAGGAAAGAAGAAGAAAAAAGAAAGCTGGAGCAGGGTGGGTAATAGCAGATATTTAGAAATAACTCACAGTGTAAATAAAGTACTTAGTAACTACAGGCTACTGTGTTATTGCTGCAGATGTACTGTTACTGGATGTTAGGGTGTGATTCCTGCACCAAAGTTTTTAAATATAGAAGGCAGCTGCTTTCATTTTGCTGATGGGGAAAAAAGTGTTATCAGGCAAAGCCCGTGAAGAATTGTGTACCTTGTTTACCACCCATAAAATGTAATTTATATTTTAAATCATGCTCTGCAAGAGACTGGTGACCTGTCCAGGGTGTACCCTTGTGCCCTATGATAGCCCGAGGTTCCCCGCAACCCTAAACTGGATAAGCAGAAGAGAATGGATGGATGAGTCATAAGAGAATGTATGTTTGGTTATATCAAATTACAAATAAATATAAAAGGAAGTTGGATTTAAAAAGAGAGTGTCATTCCAGATGTGATAATAACAAATGTGAGTTAAAGAACCAGCTTCTACAAAGATACAAGTGAGTTTAAAATGTGTGTAAAAAAAACCCTCATTTATGATGGTGCAAGTCTTGGCGATGTGGAGATGTGTAAAAGAAGACCCCTTTTCATTAAGAACACGACTGTTTCTGGTCAGAAACATGAACATGTGTATTTTAGGCTATAGAGATCTTTCTTGGCTGTAATCAAAAGTGTTACACAGATTTTTAAATAAAACTAGACATCACCTTTACGTTTATCTCTGGGATCAAAAACACTTTAAACATCTGCAACACACGAACATTCCTTCACTGAGGGGGGCGGGGGGGTGAAGTAAAAGTTTGGTACGGACTCCTGAAGACTGAAAGTACACTTACATAACCTTACAAAAATAGCAAATAGTAAAAGTCTTTGAGCACACACACTGTATTCTCGTACAGTTTAACAGCTGGAAAGGTGGGTGACACCGGTTAATGAAAGATTTCTGAGTGACAGAGACCGGTTGTGATGACGCACTAAGAGTGATGCTGAGCCGGAGTGAGGTGATGTGAGGATGGATGGCTGGGTAGTGGTAAGGAGGGGCTGGGGCTGGGAGGGTTGGGTTGAGGGGGGGTAGATACGGGCGAAAGTGGTTTCGAAAGGAAAGCAGTGAGAGATTTGGTTGGCTACTCGTCATCATCTGAAGAGACTTGGAGCACCTGAAGCTTCGGGTGTCTGCTCCGGCAGATATGAGGGCTCTCCACGGTGAGCACACTTGGCTCTCCCTTCGCCGCCTCCTAGCGCGTCTCGGCAAACACTGCCGTGCCCGAATGTGGCTCTGTCCAGGCATCGGGATGTGAAAAATCAAAGTTGGGTGAGTCCCAGAACAATTCATTTGAAGTATTTAACAGAAGCATTTTTGAATCGATAGTTTATTTTATTGATAAAAAACTATTTTTTCATAATTGAATTTGCTGAACGCGCTGATGCATAAGTGTGCATAAGTAGCCAAAATAGCGTTGATTTATTCTTTGGTTTTAATGCGGCTAAATGTCTGGAGCAAACTGGTGAAGTGGTTAAAATACACATGATTTAAGACAACTGTATCCCTCCGAACAGCCATAAGGCACGATCGCGCTGTTATGCTTGATTTATGTAATGCTGTTTTTTGTTGTTTTTACACCCTCCCGTTTTTTAAAACCTCAAATCTGAAGGAAAACTGCGAACAGATCATTTGAATATGAAGAAATGTTTTAAATGTAGCTATAAGGTTTCGGAAGAAAAAGCCAGCTCCCATGCGTCTCCTGCATGTCTGTGTCAGTTTACTGAGGTGGATGTGACTTTATGTCAGGTGTAGTCCTGCACAGTGGCCTCATCTTATAGAGCTGGGAATTACTCCGCACACCGGTGAAGAGGTTGAGATTGCATCTGAGTCACAATCGCTGTTTACTCCTGGCCAATTAAAGTAACAGCAGACACAGAGAAGCCAGGGTTGCTCAAGCTTTCCTCAACAATATTGCGGATACCAGTCCAAACCTCAGAAGCAGCTGCACATCAGCCACCTCGGCTCATTGTTCTATGGACGCATGGAAAACAGCCAAGAAGACAAAGCCTATATTTGGAGCCTATTCTGCAGAGGAGAAAGATGCTTGTACCAGGAGGGACCTCCTGAAAAAGGCAGCTAACAAAATGTAACCGAGCAAGACAGTTAACTTCCAGCTACTTCAGTATGGAGCTGCACACTGTTTTCAGTCACCCTGCAGCATATGTCCTCTTTCACTTGGCAACTCCCTCCGTACAGAGGCATTATCATGAATATTAAACCAATCAGTGCAGGAAGAAAACCTCTCCGCTGGGTCTACAGAGCCAAACGAAATCCCATGGCGTAGTGAAATCAACAGGTCTTTTTAACAGAATCCAGAAGTAAGCATGTCACTTTTAATTTATCTTAGAAGGAGTTTTAATCATGAGTTTAAGTCTTGTGATTGTAATGTACGAGCCGGGTGGATTAATCAAATTAGATTTGTTAGGGAGTTTGGCAATCCTTTCCATGCAATTTGGTCAACCGTCAAGAAAAAGGTTTTTTTTTTTTCTTGGAGCAGATTTTCTTTGATATAAATGCACAGTGATTGGTAGCCTCTAAATCCTTAATGTGAGACACACTGAGCAGATACCGATACATCTGTTTTATTTATATAGTACCAAATCACAACAACAGTCACCACGAGGCAGTTTATATTGTAAGGTAACAACACAATAATACAGAGAAAATCGCCCAAATCAGATGACCTCCTATGAGAAACCATTTGGCAACTGTGGGAAGGAAAAACTACCTTCTGACAGAAAGAAACTTCCAGCAGAACCAGGCGCAGGGAGGGGCAACCATCTGCCACGACCAGTTGGCAGTGAGAGGAGTGAGATAGGACAAAAGACACACTCTATAAGACAGGCAGCGATTAATGATAACGAATTAACTAAATGCAGAGAAGTGTTAAAAAACACAAGAGGTGAGTGAAGACAAAAACACCTGGGAAGCACCTAGCAGCCTAGGCCTATTCCAAGGGAGGGTTTAGGGTCACCTGATCATCAGTTTTAGGCTTTTAAGCCTAATTTTTAAAGTAGAGAGGGTGTCTGTCCCCCGAATCCAAACTGGGAGCTGGTTCCACAGAAGAGGGGTCTGAAGGCTCTGCCTCACATTCTTCATTTACAGTTTTTCTCCATTGGTTTGGCTCATTTCTTTAAACAGAAATTACATTCTCAAAACTCTAAGATCATTTG